GTTGTCTGTCCCCCAGGGAGGAGGTCACACACAGTTCCTTGTAATCGGTTCCCTTGTTGGATATTTCTGAAAGGATACAGCAAGGTTATTCCCAGTTGAATTCTCCTTTGTAAAAACATGCCATGAATTATCATTTGTTCTTATTTTATGTATCCCGCAGTAGCATTTTAATCTATATTCATATATATATAGCACAATTCTGGTTAAATTTATTCCTATTTAATCTTTCAGATTGCTGCTGTTGAGATCTTTACTTCCATTAAATCTTCTGATGTGTTTTCTGGTTTGGCTTTATTTCCTTATATTTTAATCTTGTGATTGTAAGCTATTCCCATACCGAGAGCTATTAGGGAGGAAGCAAATTACTCACTGATGCGGGCTGCAGACAGAGGTCATAGATAACCTGAAAACACTGGCTCTGGCCGACACAGAGACTAAGAGTCAGAAACAGGCCCAGGAAGCTTGGGTTCTATGGAGTGTGTACAATGGTCCCATACTAAAAGAGAATTAGTTGTTCTGGGCATTGTAAATAAGTTTTTGCTTCATAGCTTGAAAATGTGAGTCCATGCATGCCAGGAGCAGCGGAATGACAGTATTCTCAAAGGGAGTCGCTTCTGGTGAGAGAGATACGCGGCGACCTAAGCTAAGGAACCAACGCTTCACGGAGGGTGGTGAATGTTCTTGTAAAAGGAACTGATGGCTGAACACTAGTGCTGCACCTTTGTAAGGCTTTAAGTCTTCACAATTATTTTTCTGACTCAAATAACCACCAGAAGAATATGATGGTGTGAGCCCCTAATAAAATGATTTAAAATAAATAAATTAATTAAAAATTATATATATGAAAATAAGCTCTTGCTACGTCTCTTCTAACTCCTCAGCAGCCTGTGTGTCAGTGTAGACCTGTGCTGTAAAGGGCTACGTAATCTGGTGTCAATTTGGGACTTGAGAGGATTATAAGTGAAGGGGTGGAGTCTAGCCTGTCATTCATTGTATAGCCAATGAGGTCTCTGTGTGGGAATGGTCTTCTCCTGAGAATTCTGGTATTTCCCTCCTTGGAGGCAGGAGACATTTTCTCTCTGGTCACTCCCTGAGATGATGCTCTACTGACAAGACACATGGCACTATGCCCTGGGAGCTGGAGAAGCCACATGGACCTACCCTGATGCAACCAGACCTCTG